GACACGTGTACAAGGAAATATGGCACCGGTCAAGGAGTGGACAACCATATGCAGTCACTTTATTTGTATGACTAGTCTCAATCTGTCAATGTTAGAAATGGATATAACAGCCTGTAAAGTCTCAACTGGATTATTTATGTATTTCTCTCTTCTTTTTTTGTCTTTTGTTTTCAATTCGCAATGGCGATAAAATATAACAATGTGGGAGTTCATGCCTTCTTAAGTGGCATCAGTGCCTACGTGACAAAAGTAAACTCCGTTTAAATTCAAACTAGACTCACCAATGTTATTTTCCAACTTTACATAACATTCAAAATAATATTCTTGCTTTCTTTACCCATTAAGCGCGTTATTTCAAGCCTAGCGGTTTTTAAAAATGTGTGTATGTTTGTTAATAGCATCTTTTGTTCTTTTCACTTTTTCTAAATAAATGCATCCTCAACTGGCGCTACAGAATCACAAACAATTAACTGCACCAAATAACAGAAACCTCATAACTTGAGAACTTTCAATAACATCAAAATGAAATGGATAGCACATGTAAATTGAAGAAAGACTAATGGCATAATCAAGATATTCCACATTATTTCAAACAAAAAGCAAGGAAGCAAACCGCCTTCAATACTGGAAAGAGCGTTAACATTTAGTGGAGTTCAGAAATTAATTTTCCTGAAAAGTTGTTTTAAGAGAAAGATTTTATAAATTTCAAGCAAGTGTAGTACTATTTCCTTATAAGGAAACGGCTACTATTACCATTAACCACCCCCTCTTCTGGATATATTCCTTTTCTCCTCTTTATCTTTTTTTAATTATTATATGTCATTCTATTAATGGTTTTTTTTTCTATTCATTTTCAATATCTATGCGTTTTTGACAACATGGCCTTATTTTTATAATTGTATTGAAAAATGTAATGTTTGTTTGCATACCTTTCTTTAAATTCTTTCCTAGTTTCCCCGACGGAAATCATCTCTTCCCCTTGTTTCACTTTTGTCAATTTTTCTTCTTCTTCTTCTTCTTCTTCTTCTTCTTCTTCTTCTTCTTCTTCTTCTTTTCTCTTTTCTCTATCCCAATGCACGTTCCGATTTCAGTGTTGCACTTTCTGTCCTCTCTTAAAATACTTCCCAAATTATTATATTTGCTTTCATTTTAGTATCACCAATTTGTAATTTGCATGTTAGGTTGTTTTCTTTTGCTAGCAACCATGTATTCTGTCTTTTTGTAATTTAGGTTATGTCCTTTCTTCTCGCTTTTATTCACTACCTTCTGTAGGAGTTCTTTTGGGGGGGTTTTTTCCGTGTCATCTGCATATCTTATGTTGATATAATGAATCCTAGTAGGGCTTCTAATTCTCTCAGAATCTCCACACAGGAAAAGGTTCAATTAATCCGGTGATAATACAACATCCTTTTCTTACACAGCTTTCTATTTCTGTACATTTACTGAATTCATTTTCTATGTAGGCGGTTTGCTCCCAAGGATCAAACTGCTTGCTTCTATGGATATTAGAATAATCCATAATCTATAGTGTATGGATTATTTTAATCTCCTTCACAAATATGTCAAGTTCACCTGGCAGTTCAAACAGTCCTTTGTAACGTACTTTATCAAACGCTTTTGCATAATCTGTAAAACATAGGTATACATCCTTTTTCATTTGTGGCACGAAGATATCCTTATTCACCGCTTCTCATAAGAAAGCTTACACCAGGATCTACACGAGTTGTCAACCATAGCTGGAGTGACGATAAATTGATAATGCTATTTTCAGTTCAAAATGTACAATTTTTTAATCAATTTTTTAATCAAGTAATATAGGATTTTTTTTTCAAATCAAAGCAACTGGCCCTTAGTTAGAAAGATCAGTCATCTGATTAAAATATCGATATAAATGACAGCTGTTCATATAATTCTAATGAACTCCTGATGTGCAAATTTATCAGTTTCCTATTTTCGTTACTGTAAAGATGAAAAAATTCAATCTAATTCTTAAGGATTAATAACAAATTAATTGTTTGATTTATTAGTTACAACTCAAGGGCAATTATTAATATTGAATTAATTCTATTGAATGTCGAAGAAAAATTAATTTGATATCGAGATATTTTTTAATTTTATTTCTATTTGAACAGCAAGTAAATTTGAAATGGCATATAAATTGACACAGAAATCGTGGTTTAAATCTTCAAATGTAATCTGATGGAGTAATTTTAAATGGGAAATGTTTGGCGCAGAATAAAATTATTTCTTTTTTTATCCTGTAATATTAAACGTGTGAGTATTTTAAAACTTTGACTGGCACAGAAAAACCAAGGACTTCTTGTTTAACTCGTGAAATATTAGCTTCATGATGATTGCTAATAAATCTTCAAACGTCTAATTATTTTTCTGACCAAAACTTTCCCTTATTTTATTTTTGCATTGTCTGAACCATAATGTTTATGCGTGTGAAAGTTTGAGTGAAATAATACAGAAGTATGCTATGCCATGTAGCACTCTTTATTGCCTCAAATATCACTGACAACGTTGTCTTCTATGGTGTTTGTTGACTATGAGAGCAACAACCTTTGACTGTCGCTACTATATCGTAAGAGAGTGATTTTCCATATATTAACTCATTGGCTAATCGTTGCATTCCCGTGACAAGTAGTATTATACCAGAAGAAGCTTTTACAGTATTTACATTAGTCGGACTATTGTCCTCATCTTTGTCGCCATATTTGTCGCAACGTTTCGGCCGTTGTACGCTCCGGTTGGAATTTCGAACTGAACCCTTTATTTCGATCGCTGGGGTAGACTGTTCTAATTCCACGTGCCATGTTTTGATGCCATTATCTCCTGTTTGATGGATGTCAGTTATCAGTTATCTCCTGCTAATTTTCCCTCTGAAAGTTCTCCACTGCCTTAACCAGGAATTGAACTCACCTTCTTTGGGTCTGTCACTGGATCTAACCAACGCCTTTACCCACTGTGCCATGTGTCCTTGAGGACACCTGGGTATGAACTTCTGAGTATTATAAACCTAATGTTTTCAGCATCATTTTTACCAGTGCTCATATTGCAATTTTTTGCTGTTATCATTGCATGTCTTTACCAGAGTTCATATTGCAACTTTGTTATCATTGCTTTTCTCTGGCACTCCTTATTACTGGTTCCCATATTGTATTTATTTCTATGCTTGGTCGGCTCAGGAGATTTTTGTGGCCTAGCATATGTGCTGATTCCTTAAGTTTACGAATTTTCCAATGGTGTTCCCTGTCTATGATCTCAACATGATCCCACAGGGGGCGGTGATCTCCCTTCTCTCTCCATATGTGGTCAGCCACGCCTGATTTTTCTACTTCCCCTCGCGTTACAGCTTTCTGGTGTTCTTGAAGCCTTACCTTGAGGGGGCAGCCTGTCTCTCCTTTATATTCCTTTCCGCAGCTGCACGGGATAGCGTACACACAGTCTTTAGTCATGTTCCTCTCTATGGGGGGTCTCACTCGTGAGAGATACCTGCGAAGTGTTGTCACGCTTTTGAAGGTTGTCCTGATGTTATATGGACCGCAGATCCTTTGTATTTTCTCTGATAACCCCTTCACATAAGGCTGGCAGACTGTTTTCTGAGTGTGAAATATAGACAAACTCAGAACAAGCTTTGCATTGAATTTCACAGCAGACCAAGGAAGCCGGATACAGGTTTGACCGGAAATGAAACTAGCTGAAAGTATGGATCTAAGATTCACATCTTGCTAGTAATGATCCTAAAAATGAACACCTGTGAACAAGGTTGCACCTGATATTTGCATGTGTGAGAAAAGCCGTTGGACAAATGAATATATCAACAACCACTCAAGAGACAATTTGCATATCACATATTTGGTCGGGAGTTTCCCGGGCCTCACTTTCCATTGTCTCCAACAAGGGTTGGAGAATAATTATTTCCACCCCCAACTGCAACCTTTCAGTCGGGATGTGGCGAGTCTCTCATTGTTCTATCGCTACTAACATGGAAAATGCTCTGACGAACTACATTTCTTGGTTCTGCCACGCTAGGACCCGCCATGCCACTTACATAGTAGCAAATCACCCTCATTTCCCCCGTATTCCATCGGCGAGAAGTAAGTTTCTTCCCGCGAACCACTGTCCTGTGGAACAGACTCCCAAGACGATCTTTCTCTAATAAATACAATCTTAAACTGTTCAAGTCTACAGTCAACAGTTATCTTCCCCTCTTATCCATATAAACTTCCCCTTAACGTAACCTCGAGTGCCCCCCCCTGGGCCTTGTACAAGGTGAACTATATTGTAAAAAAAAACAAAAAAAGGACATATAAGATGTAAGGTTCACGTATGGAACCAGGAGTTCCATGGGGTCGTACCACTGGCCGAGAGTAACTGACGATCTATTGAAGTGAAAAAATGTTAAGTAAAAGATTCAAATCTTGTGTCATCATTTAATCGGCACAACGACATCATTGCGCATTCATATATATCTGAAGAAATGGAGAAATGGGTTCATGCCTTTCCAAATTATATTAATTTTAAGAGAGTGCCAGCATTCTGGATCGAAATTCGAACTCGTTTTACAAATTCTCTTTTCCGTGTGTGTAAATATTTGTATTGATCGTAAATTGTGATAAAATGCAATAGAAAAAAAGTCAAACGGATCTTGTGATCGTGTCCCCATTAATGGAAGAGAAAGATGAGGTGACATCAGACAGACGACATCGGTAACCAGGTTTTAATTATCTCTTCCCGACCACCAATAATTGCGAATGCAGATATTTCTTTTTTAAATATGGTTATTACAAGGAAAGTAAATTAAGTAAATTATTTTAAATAAGAAATATTGCAAGAAATATCAGCAAAAAATATATTGAAATTAGACAAGAACTATAAATTGATTGGAAAAAAATCCGCATAGAAATGTCTCAGCTGTTTAAAAATTTGAAAGGTGTACAACATTTTGAACATTTCAAACAAATGCAATCCTTTTCTAATTTTCAAATATTTATTCATAAATAGATAGATAGATAGATAGATAGATAGATAGATAGATAGATAGATAGATATGAACAGACTGACATAGATAGATAGATAGATAGATAGATAGATAGATAGATAGATAGATATAAATAGACTGAGTTAGATATGTACAGACTGACATAGATAGATAGATAGATAGATAGATAGATAGATAGAAAGATATGAATAGACTGAGTTATGAACAGACTGACATAGATAGATATATAGATACGAATAGACTGAGTTAGATATGAACAGACTGACATAGATAGATAGATAGATAGATAGATAGATAGATAGATAGATAGATAGATAGATAGATAGATAGATATGAATAGACTGAGTTAGATATGAACAGACTGACATAGATAGAGAGATAGATAGATAGATATGAATAGACTGAGATATGAACAGACTGACATAGATAGATAGATAGATAGATAGATATGAATAGACTCAGTTAGATATGAACAGACTGACATAGATAGATAGATAGATAGATAGATATGAATAGACTCAGTTAGATATGAACAGACTGACATAGATAGATAGATAGATAGATAGATAGATAGATAGATAGATAGATATAAATAGACTGAGTTAGATATGTACAGACTGACATAGATAGATAGATAGATAGATAGATAGATAGATAGATAGATATGAATAGACTGAGTTATGAACAGACTGACATAGATAGATAGATAGATAGATATGAATAGACTGAGTTAGATATGAACAGACTGACATAGATAGATAGATAGATAGATATGAATAGACTGAGTTAGATATGAACAGACTGACATAGATAGATAGATAGATAGATAGATAGATAGATAGATAGATTATATTTATTATTGTAGATTACAATAATTGTGGCACATGGCCTAAAAAGTGGAGAGCGGGTTTGAGATTGGTTATCCTTACCTATCCTATACGTAGCTGACCCGATTCATGACCCATTCATTCAATACAAATAACATATCCACCCAAACAATTCACCCTTAATATTTTACTCCTACATATATCACAATACCACATTCACAAAGGGAACATAAAAATTAAACCCATTATTTAAAAATTTCTCATGTACAAATGTTCATAATATATATATATATATATATATATATATATATATATATATATATATATATATATATATATACTAGCAGTAGAGCCCGGTGTTGCCCCAGGATGTAACAGTAAGAGATAGATCAAGTATCGACCACTATAAAGACAGAAAAATAAAATTGACAAAGATTATTGTTTAAGGTTGACGGACACGCATGTCTTAATTAATTTTGTTTTTTTACGAATTGGTCAAACCCAAACTCAAACAAAAACATTGTTATCAGTTGTTATGAGTCTAGCGATTGAATAGAATTTTATTATAAACAATTGTCTTGTAAATGGAATTTGTAAAGGATTCTGAATGTAAAAATAAAGAAAATTGTGTGCAAGACAATAAGAAACACTACCTGCCAAAAAAAGTGAAGTTTTGTTGAAATCGGTTGAAAAATGTAGGAAATCCGATCCCATAAATAAACGAACACACACACACACACACACACACACACACACACACACACACACACACACACACCTGGGTTTTATAATAACTCGATATGAGTTGTCCCCCTTTCATTCTCGCGATAGCGATGCCACTTAATCGTGTTTTCAAATTGATTTCGTGCAAAAACAATTGTGTTTTTCCAATTTTTGGCGCTGTCAGAACCACCGCAAGGTAATGTTACGCAGTCCTGTGAAGTTTTGTTTAAATCGGTTGAAAAATGTAGGAAATCCGATTCAATATATAAACAAACAGACGCACACACACAACCTGGGTTTTATAATTAGTATGAGATATATATATATATATATATATAAATCTGAAGATGAATGGGAGGGTTCTGAATCCCAATACAGATAAAATATAAAACAAAAACTAAGAGAAAATAATTGATGTTAGTAGGACCTGTCCACTCCACAAAAATCAGAGTTGCCGCTGTATTCTGTCATCAGACAGAATCAAGAGGCTAACTCTCTAACGGAATGTGGTGGGGGGAATCGCTTTCTATCAGTTCTGATCTTGAAGTGAAGATCAGTACCTGATGAGAATAGCGTTCTTGTTGCAAGATCCCCTCCCTTCGTGTCATCCAGATCACCATTCTTGCCACGGCTAGCAACGTTAGAAACATCATTCGTTTCACCCCAGAATACGGAAGCAATACATTGTCGCACGCATATGCGAGATCGATGAGTACAAGCTGATCGGGGGCGATACATACCGTCAGCTCGACGACATAGTCCCAAAAAGGGCGTATCTGATGACAATGGTAGAAAGCGTGCGAAGCGGTTTCTTCTAAACCTAGGTCACAGCGGTAACAATCGGGCAAATCTGCCCAGCCCCATTTGAAGGTTATGTCATTAAAAGGTAGCATGTTCCGAATCAATCGCCAGATAAGCGAAAACTCAGGGTTACTGAGGGAATTCGCCGCTGGCGCCCAAGACCGGAAAGATCGATAGAACACCAGATAGATAGATAGATAGATAGATAGATAGATAGATAGATAGATAGATAGATATGAACAGACTGACATAGATAGATAGATAGATAGATAGATAGATAGATAGATAGATAGATAGATGTTATATAAGATTGCAATATACGGTGTAATAATAAGGACATAAACTAATTTCATTATTGTGCCCCATCTATATTGGTTCTTTTTAAAGAACTGTTCTGCGACGATCTTAAGAAGTAACCATATCGAAGTCTTCTCGTTCACAGTTTCTTATCATCACGTCTACAGAATTGAGTTTCCCTTCTTGCTTTGTAATTTTCTGATCTTACCATTATTTCTTGTCAGTTTTATTGTATATTTTGCTGCAATAATCTTACATATACGTGTTTGTGTGTATGCGTGCGTGTTTGTGATATTATTATTATTATTATTATTATTATTATTTTCGAGTTTGTTTTTTATTTTTTGTCGTTATTGTCGTTCTTGATTGTTTCTATTCTTTTGTCTGCCACCAGGTGGCGCCAGTGTTTCAAAAGTTCGGCTTTTGATTTCAGCCCAGTTTGCCGTTGTAATTCAACTCAGCTGCTGAGTGTTAATACTTTCCACACTGACTGGAACGAGAAAAAAAAACATTTCTATTTATCATTCATATCGCTACTTCAAAGATTAAAGACACGTAACTCTAAATAACTTTAATTAAATTTAATTTTAATAAAATTAATTTTAATCAAATTAAACTTTAATAAAACTAAAGGAAGTTTATAATTTTCGACTTTACAACGAAAGAAATTAAAACCCTACTGAAGAGATATTTTAAAAGTATAGTCTGACACAAATCATTGGGTACCTAGTGAGAATCATACTCATTCCACTCGTAATTGTATCAAGAAACCACCGTTCAATGAAATGATATTTTAGATAATTTAAGTGTAAATGAGGCAAAGGCTAAATTCTTCCCACATAAACTCCGACCATCTTGGCTTCGTAATTTTGAAACTGATTTAAATGGAATATTGTCACAAATGTTTGATATTAATTGTCTTTCTTTTCACGTTCGATCTCTCGATCTTCGTCCAATCACAATACCAATCACATAATTCATCTCTTGAATATAGCGAATTCTTTTTACTTTCATATTTCTTCAGTTCTTCGTTGATTCTTTGAAATACCAAACATTGTAAATAGAAATCAAATCTTATCAGCTTCTAAAAAAACAACCATTTCCTTCATCCACAAACAAATGATTCTCTATTCTCTTCAAGAGTCTATTTTCTTCCAGGTTTAACAAACAATTCAGTACTTTCACAAATGAGTATCTATAGAATTTGATAGGTTCGTATTTTATTTATCTTATACTCCTCAATAAGTGACGTCAGTAATCGCTTCAGTTATGATTTTAAACTGTTGTGCTGATATCGCTTATTTTTCAGGACATTTTACGACTGCTACCCTGTTCCACTTTACGGCATATCATATGATCCATTTATGTTTGTCGCCAATTTCTTTAACATTGAACAGAATTTTGCTTTCTTTACTTTATACTCCTCAAAAATTGATGCCGGTAGCATGTTCCACCTTGATTTTCAGAATTGTTTGTTAAATTCTACGTCGTCATCTGACCAACCATTTCAAATCTTTTTATTCTTTCAGTTTTTATAATAACTCAATCGTATGCGGATGAATACTAAACTATACACAGAACAAAGTCAAAAAATCATACTTTATCGACAACTGTTTATTTGGTTTGGTTTATTTTGTTTTATGGTATATCAACCTCAATGGGTTATTTAATGCTGACAAGATTTTTAGGATTGGTTCGAATGAATAAAATATGTATTCTTTGTAAGAAATCAATTTATAGATTAGGTTTCATTGATGTATTTTTCTAAAGAAGGTTTTTGTCGAGAGTTAAATGCATTGCAGGTAATTTTTTTTCAAAAATGTATTGCTGGCAACTTTAGTATAAAAATGTATTTTTATACTTTCTTAGTGTTTTGACGCCAGTTTAGAGATTAAGTATTTGCCTATGGCTGGGACTATGGCAGGTGCTACCACCATGAATCAGGTGCACCTGGGAACAACAGCAATTAAGCGGTGGTTCCATGCTCCTCAAAATCTCCCAATCAGAGGCCTTGCTGCTGGATGTAGTTTATCGTCATATCCAGGACGATTCGACAGCTGTTTCTAAGTACAAATTCGATCATTATAATGGCAAAACTAAAGCCTTACTTTCCTAGTTGAGAAACAAAACCGGTTCCAGTTGATTATTTGTCTTACATCACCTTGGGATTCGGTCTGCTCGACCACAGTTATCTGCAATAATTTTTTTCATGTGTATTTTACGCAAAAATACTTCGCAAAGAATCGTAGAACTACGGACAGACAGGACAACAGACGGTAGAACAGACAGGACAATAAAGAGAACAGAATTCAAAGAGAAAGATGTCGATTGATAGTGAATTTAAATGTTTGAAGATCGTAGTTGAGAGAAAAGCAAGGAGCCGGAAGAGAGTTCTACGAGTGAAAAGTGCGAGAGAAGAAACTATGAACATAGAACTTCCGGTTATATCTAGAAATTTCAACAGTGAAATTATAAGACCTAACTGCCAATCTAGTACTGAGCTTAAATTTGTGAAGTTGTGGTACCAGACAGGAAAGCTCACCAGAACAATTATCATGAGAATATTTATTGAAAGATCCCATGGAAGCGACATAACGGTGGTGGGAAAGTGACTGATGCTGAGATGCCAGGTCAGGACGAATGATGTTGCAGATTCTTCTTTGGATTTTATCAAGAATTTCTAGATATATAGTAAAAGCAGCATTCTAGATGTGGCAGCAATAATCTATGCACAGACGAATAGTAGACTTATAAACGTGAAAGTTAAATAGTGGCGCAAAAATGTCTAGCATCACACAGTAGACCAACTTTCCTAGCAGTAGACATGATTCAATTTAATCTTTACAGTCTCTGTCTATATTTCTCTGAGATGAGGTATTATGTACACTATTTACATTATTTGAACTATTGTCCTCATCTTTGACACATGGAACTAGAAAAGTCTACCCCAGCGAGCAAAATAAAGAGTTCAGTTCGACATTCCAACCACCTGAAGAAGGTCGGAGCATACAACGGCCGAAACGTTGTGCTAAATATGGCAAAAAAAGATGAGTACAATCTTTAAAGTTAATGTCAGTGGAAACTTGGGACCAAGTAGGCAGAATGATTTACTCTCTTGGAGATCATGCTGACAGAAGAGAAGAGGAATTTCTAAGATGATCAAAATAGAGAAGTTTCGTTTTGGAGGTGTTAAAATTAAAAAGCCATTTCTTGCTACAGTTAACAAAAGGTTGAAGGTCACTTTCGAGATCTGTTGCGAATTTGATTTTATCGAATTTATCGGATTTAGGATTTAGACACGAATAAAATGTTGTGATATCAGCATAGGTACGGATTTGAAAACTGAAGACACCGGAGAGGTCGTTGATGAAAATTAGGAAGAAAGTACTATAGCTTCAAAGATAGAACCCCACGGGACACCACATTAATGCAAATATACCAAGACGAGGAGGACTTGAGCATCCACTCCTCTTTTTGCATTTAAACAGTGTCTCCCAGGGCTCTATCTTTGAACCTATTTTGACAACTTTCATTACACAGTTTGATAAAAACGATTGAATCAAATCAAAATATCGGCCCGAAAAACATCATAACCTTTCAACTTGTGAAATGGACCAGCATGCCAAACTCATGTCAAACAGCGTGCAGATATTTAAAGCAACAACTCGAGCTTCCACTTGACAGACTCTTTCAGCAATAACTCTCAACACATCGGCAGTTGACCTAAAAAGCCATATCGTTTGTCTGCAAAACAAAACTGCGCAGGTGAGATGCATGAACAATTAAAGCTTCTACTATTAGGTTGTCCCAAAAGTTCGCAACCCAATCCAGCACAATCGAGGACAAGCGATGGGTTCAGAAAGGGCAAGAGACACCGTCGGTTCCAAAACAAGATCGATTCGGCAAGAAAGTCATGTTGTGTGTTTGGTGGAAGTTTGAAGCAATCGTGCATTTTGAGTTGGTTCCGAATGGTCGTTCCATCAGTGCCAAACTTTACTGTCAGCAACTGGAGCGGGTCTACGAAAAGTTGAAGCAAAAGTACCCGGCTCTGATCAACCGAAAGCGCGCTTGATGCAGCAGGACAATGCCAAGCCACACACCGCCAGGAAGACCAAAGACAAGTTTGAAGAGCTGGACGGCGTTGAGGTTCTGCCACATCCAGCCTACAGTCCTGACCCTGCTCCATCAGATTACGGCCTTTTCCGCTCAATGCAACACTTTCTGAAGGGCCGCTGATTCGACTTGTTTGATGAAGTCGAGAAAGCGTGTCAAGAATTCTTTGATTCGAATCCGGCGGAATGGTACTTTCACCAGATCCGAAAGCTTGCAGATTGATAGCAGAAAGTCTTGGAAAATGATGGTCTTTATTTTGAGGATAATTTTTGTTGTTTTTGTTATTACTTGGCGAGTAAAATTTCAATTTTTTGCAAGTGTTTACGAACTTTTGGGACAACCTAATATTTTGCTAAAAAAGAAGTTTATATCATAAATCGAAGCCACACGTTTTTAGCTCATACTTTTCAGATAAAATCTTGTGTTTATTAGTTCGTATAATGCTAAAATATAGAAAGTATTGAAATCTATTTGCAGAACACCTGATCTATTCGCTTTAATGAAATAAGTCACAAATATAACGGTATATTTAGAGAAGGTACGTTTTGAGAATGAATTAAAAATGAATTCTCAAAACGTACCTTCACACTGTTTATTATTTTCCTTCTATAATAATTTCCCAGCAAATTTTGTTTCGTTTCTAATCCGAATCATGTCTAACAATTGTTTGGCTATCGATTATTTGCAATCATTTTTTTCATGAAAGGCCTTTTTAAAAAAAAATTATTTTATTATTCTAATACTACTTTTTCTTCAGGTGTTTCTCCTTGAGTTGAATCTGTTAGGCATTTATTGGAAATTTTCAGTTAGACCATTGTTTAGTCTGGACAATATCCTTACAGATGAAGAGGAACTTGAAACAACAGAGATGTGGATTTACATAAGAATGCTGAGAATACCCTGGACAAAACATATGAGAAATGAATAAGT